ATTTATGTATTTTATATTTTATATTAAAAAGATTTAATTCTATTTTTTTGTATTGTATTATATTTTATTATATTGTATTGTCTAATTACTTTGTATATAGTATAATTCTTTCTTTGTGTTCTATGTTTTGGAATCAAGTTTATATAATCAAAATACATTGCATAAAAATATTAAATTTTATGTAATATTATACATAAAAACATTCAAATCTTGCAAACTTTCGGTAACGTAGTTGTAATTTGCCATACAAAAATCTAACTGTAATATAATATAACCCCTGTGTTATATTATACGTGTGTTATACTATAGTTATATTAATTGTTACATGTAACTTGGCGTTTGCTAAGAAAGAGGACCGCCGTTAAAAATTGGCGGGGGTGGTGGAGGGCCTCTACAGGTTGATACGTTTTTATTCATTTAAATTTTCTTTACAACTTTAAATTAAATGTAGTTTGCTTGCAATTTGAAAAATTCCAACTTTATTCAACAGCTTGCAAATTGCAAATATATTTGGTATAAATATGTCCGTTTTTTTGTGAGCGTGAGTATATTTATAAAGAAAAGAGGATCGCCGATGTAATTGTTCGGCGAGGATGGTGATGGGCCCAGGTGGTCCTCTAAAATCTAATAGCGCTTTTCATCAGCAGAATTGGTGCGTACTCAGTGCACATTAAAGTCGTAAAGAGTTGTAAATCGATAATTAAACCGCGAAATTCTCTCATTACATTTTATTGTGCAATTTGATAAAATATACATTAGTTAGACTATTTGATAAAATATACATCAATTGAGATATCTCACTTTTATATTTCAGATTAGATTATACCACGTATCGGCTCTGAATCGTGAAAGCTCTGCTTTTTTGCACGCGTGACGGTGCAAAGCAGTGTTCTGAATGCAACCATTGCATATCGCTCGTCGTTCATCTCTCATTGTGTCCAATGTGCAATAGGCATTAAGACCAGTATTCATAATCGGTTTTTATTTTAAGACCATTTTAAGTAATGTTCTAAGATGCTAATACGGCTTTCTGATCAGTTTATGACATCTGTACTTAAGATGGTCTTAAATATATAAGATCTGACTATGAATACAGAGGCAAAGAGAATCCTGAGGGAGGATAATTACAATATATAAATGTAATAAATATAATAAATGCAATCTCTATTAATTTGATAGATTTTAGTTATTTCAGCGATTTATTTCCATCAGGAGCACCGCAAAAAAATGGATTTTGTGTAGTTTACGTCCACTTCTTCAGAGGGCAGTAGTGCGTGGGGCGTTTTGCGACAGGAAAAGGCTTTCATGTTCTCTCTGGCACCAGTGTTGCTCTAGTTTTTCCAAGAGAAAAACACGGCGTCTCGGTATTATTTACGTCACGTTCGAGTGTAGAATCTCAGCTGATCGTGAATTTTGAATACAGCCCTATAAAAGAATACAAATTTCCTTTGCTACCGTCGGTTATATAGGAACTTCACTCTAATGTATTATCGATCGATTTCTTTGACAAATAAAATAAGGGTGAATGCAGACAGAGCTACATGACCGACGCGACGGGGTCGACCTTCGCCGACGTCGATGACTCCACGGGAATTGTAGTATTCTAATAGAGATAATCGTCTCGCGGCGTCGCTTCGCGGGAAGCGATCTACGTCTCGCAGCAAATCGGGCTGTCAAAAGTTGGCGTGGTCCGTCGGTGGGTCGCGATCGGTTGCGTTGTTCGCCGCGAAGTCACGAGTGCGACGTAGCGTGTCGGTGCTGGTCGGTGCGAGCAGGTGTGCGTGTGCGAATTCGCGCGGGAGTGTCGCTGACAAAGATTTCTCTCCCCCTCGTCCGAGGCATCGCGTCCCGAGTGTTTCGAGACTTCCGAGGGTGGTGAGGCAGCCATATTGTTTAAATCACTACGCGTTCACCACTCTCGCGCGCGGGTGGATTTCGTGAATCTTGAATGTCCACCTCGAGACGATGCAGCAGTATGTTTCTGAATAGAAAGAGGTGAGTGCACGAATGTTGTCTTTTGTGTCGCGGCGATTGACAAAAAGGGAGTTGCGTTTTAGACGCGTCTCTCAGTACACCCCCCTCCCCCCTCTTGTATTGTATTTAAAATTAGACAAGTCTATATTCGGGGTATTTTTCGGCGGTCTTGGCGATGGGAGGGAATGGACGAGAAACCTCCCGGAGAGTTTGAGGGAGCCGGGACGACCGACTTCACATATTGCGGCCTCACGCCTGCTCCGTCTCCT